CAATGGGAGTGGGGATCGTGTGTCAAGTGATTCTATCAGTTGATTGCGGCATTAGCTTGTCTTAATCTTGGGCATCGCCTTGAAATAAGCGAGGAGAACATTCTCTCAGTCCATGAAAGAACTGCGTCATCTTGCTTACATAACCAGAGTATGATTATTAATATATTTAATCCAATCGTGCTCTGGAACAGCTACTGTTCAATGGGCTGCAGGCTATGGATCGCGGCAGGTCATCTCGTGGCAGGAACGGGCTAGTGCAAATGAATTGTGACGCCCCCAACATGGACGAGCGGGGTTACATCTCCATCCAGCCCCTCATCCACATGGATCAGACCAGGGGAACCGTGCCATGGCTTCTACTTCCCTGACCAACTATGGCCAACCATGCCGGCCTCTGTCCCCGTGGCCGTTGACCGGTCGGAGGAACTCGACCCCGCGCCTCTCCCCGATGACTACTCCTATGGCACCATCTCCGTGCCGGAGGTTCACAGTGGCATCCTCAGGACCTTGGAGAAGGTCGCGGAAGGGCTCTTGCCATGCCCGGAGGACTTGTGTTACACCCTTGCGCGATGGTTAGACGTGCGGCACGGCGCTCATGTGGTCGGCCCACACCAGCGCGGACATGTTGGGCTGCGAGGTTAGTGAGTTGGTCCAGTGCGTAGAGATGTTGGGCTACAAGGTTAGTTGGCCTGCCCAGTTAAGCTGTTATCTCAGGAGAACAGCTTACAACTACCCAATGGCACGTGTATAGGGTCCCACGCAGTCAAAGATCCCTCGTTAAAGGGGATGGCGTGGTAACGTTAGTTTGGGGTCCCACCGTCCTCATAAGGCGGAGTGGTGTGCTCCGGTTAACGGGTGCACGTGAGTGGGTGGCGTTATTCTCCCCTGCCAGCGTTTTACGATTAGAATGGAATTTCATGGCTTTTAGTCGAAGTTTCCGCAACCGTCACGGGGAGGGAGAAGACCGGTTGGCTGACCGGGGGGTGCCCAAGGCCGCAGGCAGGCAAGAACCTCGGACGTAAGCTCAGCCCACCTGTGTGACACGTCCCCCTCGGAGACAATGTCACTCTCGTGTTCAGTATCATTGCCTTACTCTATGCTTCCATAACTTGAAGGTTTCCTATCTAGTCGATGGAAATCAGAAACCCCTTTCCGGCGTTCCTTTAAGCAAACAAGGAATTCTAAGTATTTCTCTCAGGGTCAAGCTCTATTCCATGGGCATATGCATCTGAGGGTCATGCTTACAAACATCAGGTCACATGCTACAACCCATGCGAATTGCTTTAATTTCAGCTGAGTTTTGCATATCTGGAGGTGTTTTCCTTAGTTTTGGCGAATCTCGCCTTCCTGATGCAGTTGTGACGAAGAAACACTGAAGGACATCCAATATAGAAGAACAATCGTCCTCTCAATCCGGAACGTATAGCACCAAAAGACAAGCTCGATTTTGCGGTGCATAACATTCAGAAAGTTGGAGGCCTAGGTCTAATCTTGCTACAGTACACCACTAGCCTCCTTCCACGATCTAACGATTTCCCGTGAGTCGAGGTGGACCTGGTGTTCAGCAATTAATCGAATATATTCAGATCTCCAGGTAACCACGTTCCTTAAACCGTTTACCTCCCTCTCTCTGCCTCACGCCTTGCTGCTGGAACGCGATGTTCCCTCCGTAGGGATTCAGCCAACGTTTAGCTGGCTCCCACGCACACTGTAGAAGAAAGAGGGGTGTTGGCACCCAGAGTAGCAACCTTCTTGTCCAGAAGTCCCAACAAAGTCTTCCCCGGCATCCTCAAAGTCCGTCTATAGTTTTCAAAAGATAAGGTTTGACGGGACGCGAATTCTCCTGGACGGAGAGAGGATTTGCATCGGTATTCTCTTTACAGTGTAAAAGAGAATGCCGCTACTTGTTCCAGAGTTCCAAGGTTTCAAGGTTTCCGCATCAAGGACCAGCTACTTTTTCTTTGTCTGAAATATTTCCCACCGGTGCAGTCGCACATCACTCCATTGGGAGTCAACAACCTAGCCGCTGTGTGGGATTCTTTGGGTTTCAAGGATCGAACATCTATGGCAACTCCACACGTATCAGGAATCGTGGCACTAGAGAAATCGTTGCACCCCATTTGGTCCCCCATCGCTATAAAATCGGTCATTCTGACGACCGGTATGTCCTCTGAATCTCCTATCGACGTGCGTCGTTCCGTTGTCAACATCAATCTGTTTCTCTTCACAGATGGCGGAGGGCACCCCACCCCCCCCGAAGTTCGCCGACCCTTTCGACTATGGCAACGGCCACGTCAATCCAGAACAAGGCAGCTGATCCGCGCCCTATATACAATATTAATCCGAAAGATTTCGACGAGTTTAAGTGCTCTTTTAGTTCATTCTGGTTTGCGAAACTACACGGCTCCCTGTCTACGACCTTAATCTGCCTTCCATGTCTATCCCTGATCTCAAAACCAAGGTTACGGTGTCAAGGACCATCGCCAATGTGGTCCCAGCCGGCAGCACTTGCATCTCCTCGTCGAACCCCCGCCAGGAGTCCAGATGGAAGTTCGAACATCAAAGCTCGTCTTTAATGACTAAACCGAAAAAATAACTTCACTGTTGCGTTGACATCTGTCCCCAGGATTCAGGGAGTTTACACCTTTGGATGCTTGACTTTGAAAGATGAGACTCATGCATTCAGGATTCCTGTTACGATCCGCACTGTGATCAAGGATTTCTATGCGGACGTAGCATAGTTGTCCATTTAAACGGAAGACATCGGTTCTAGTCTGTTTTTTAATACATGTGGGTGAATCCGAACTGTCGATTTCTTTATTTCATAACTAAAAATACGTGATATGAGACTTGTATGCATAAAAATATGTTGTTTTTTTTTCACAAACGTGTCCGCCTTGTCCTGAAGGTAAACTCCAAACTAAGGAACTTTCCAACAATCTCTTGTTATAGCGGTAATTCTTCCTCTCTCATGGTCAATTTTAAATGTCATTCCCAAACTAGATAGTGATCATCATTATTGGTCTACTTGTTAAGATGCAGCCAAAACATATTTTCCAATGGTTTTGGAGAAAATATTTGCGACTTGAAGATCTAGAAAATTGATAAATTTATCTTTCTATTTTAAAGATGAGAAAGTCTATAGAAAGTATACCAAAAAAAATTCAACGATAATGGAGAAAGACCTAGGAAAAATAATAGATTTAAGAATATTCACAAAAATTTTGACCTAATAACTTGGATGCATGATATGTCTAACAGTTCAATTTGAAATATTTAATTACCTGTCATAAATATTATACTATCATTTTAGCGCAAAGCCACTCTATTGTAGGTTTCTATAAAAATTTCACGTTCGGACAGGCAATTGGCACAAAAAGAGGAAGCATAAAAAAGATTTCAGTAGTCTCATTTTAAATAATTTCTTAACACCAAGGATTATTTATAAAATTTATAAAACAGGTGATTCATTTGAGTTCTTATAGGGAATTACTATAGGAGTCATTATAATTTGTGGTGTCATTATTTATCATACATATTTTCATTATTTGAATTTAGAGGATCCTTATCTTGAACATTTACTTTCATGTGTTCATGTGTTAGCGAGAGAGAGAGAGAGAGAGAGATTTCGACTTCCAACTATCGGGAGAAGTGGGACGTTCTGTTGTAAAAAATGAATGGTTCTCTGTGTTCAGATGGTTGTAGTAAGAAAGAAACCTCACGGTATGTTGTCGAGAGAGACCACGTGGCTGCGTCACCTTCACCGACGAGAGATCGACGGATGAGGAAAAAATTGACAGCTGGAATGCGTTGACCCTTTGTTTGGCCTGCACGATTCGACACCGGAGTCCTCGCCGTGCTGATCGCCGCTCCGACAGGGAACCGGGCCGGAGCGGCGACCAGCATAGCGAGTACGAACCCAAGGACGATTGTTCCGCCGCCGCACACCCCGGAGACGGATACCGTTAGCTTCGTAATGGCTGGAAACGGCCTTCTTTTAGGACGAACCATTTGCGCGGAGGATCTCGGCGTCTCCCGGGGACCTTCACAGACAAGCGCAAGAAAACCGAACAGCCCCCGGTCGTCACGTCATCTATCTCCACAGTCCAGACGCACGCTCACTCCTTTACCCCGTCCTTCGCCGTCTCCCCTTCCTTCCGCAGGTTGATCCCCGTTGTCAACCCGTCGTCCCGTCGCGTGTAGAGGATTCCGGACGCCGCGTCGTAGGCCAGTTCTTCCGGGCCTGGCAACAGACCTTCTCCGACGCCTTAAGATACCGCTCTGAACCTCCGGCGCGGACATAGTTTATCTCTGTAGTCTCCAGGGAATGGGGCCGGCTCAAATTCCTCCGACAGTAGAGCGCGACGAGGCTTCTCGTTTATCTCTGGTAGCCGGAGACTGTTTTCTTTGCTCATAGAAGTAAAGACTCGTCTGTTCACGAAATTCGTTCCACTGTCGGTTTCTTGCGGCTTCTGGCAATTATTGCGTCTCCAGAGGTAAGAGTTACTGATGAGGCCAACAATTTTAGGTGGGGACAAAGGGCGGAGGCAAAGCGTTATTTGCCGTTAAACATACGCAGCACCAATCTACACCGTAACGGTGCATCCGCCGAGTACCATTCTTCTGTCGTTTAGCGGGACGTCAGACGCAATTCAGGTTCCACCTCTCTCACGAGGAGTGCAACGTAGATAAAGAGGATGGAGACAGCTTCATCTCAAGATTGAGAAGCAATGTAGTGTTACATTCACTTGTGTAGAAGAAAGAAATCAAAGGAACAAAAATCAATTCAATTACTGTACGGGGATAATAAATATCTCGCATAGTCGAGTTCAAGGTGCGAAACAAATACTAATTAGCCGAATGTTTATTGGCCAAATATTTATTGTAAGAGTCCAACGCGCGCATTTTCTAACGCGTGCACAGCTGACTTGTCTCGCAATTTCTATAAATAAGCCTTAGGCCTCTTCAGCAACGGGCACACAGCGGGCATAATAGAGCAGATGGCAAAAAGAAGCAGTAGCTCTCTCCCTCTTCTCCTGGTCTTCCTCCTCGCTCTTCTTTCATCATGTTCCTCTTTCCATGACTCAGTGTCATCAGGTCCAGAAGACAGCAAGAAGAAGGTAGGTGCACGGTTAACCAACGAGGTAAAGTAGTCTCACAGAAAAAAGGGGGGAATTTGATGGCTCATGGGTTTTAAGCAGCTGCACATAGTTTACATGGGCGAGAAGCACCACGAGGACCCCGACATCGTCACGTCTCTGCACCTTGACACTCTCTCTTCCATTCTGGGAAGGTTTGTGCCGTTACGGCATTTCTCTGCCCTGTTTCGTCATGTTACCGACTAAACAAATCCCTAATCGGACATGCAGCAAGGAAGAAGCTCTGGGCTCGATTGTCTACAGCTACAAGCACGGATTCTCGGGCTTCGCCGCGATGCTTACCGACTCTCAGGCGAAGAAACTCGCAGGTAACGTATGTGTGTCATCAAATTCTAAGAGAGAAAAATCTTCAGTGAGAGAGAGAGAGAAAGAGAGAGAAAGAGAGTTTTCGATGGATGATTTTCCGCTTCATCTGTTCAATCATTGCTCTCTGGTCAAGTTGTACGAGGGAAAAATCTATACACAGAGAGAGAGAGAGAGAGAGAGAGAGAGAGAGAGAGAGAGAGAGAGGTTACGTGTTAGAGAATGAAGCAGTGAGCGTAGCGGCTTCAGGATCATAACGCCAAGTTTTTTTGGAGTTTTGAAAAGCAAAAATCCTTTGGGGATGGGATCAAACATTGGATCGTGCATGCACTGTTTAGGTAATGAAAGAATAATCGTGAACATAATGGAAAACAGACGCTCACAATATCTTATTTCAGGGATCAAGGGAATTCTCGGGGTGAGGTTGAGCCGAAACGTCCGGTTGAGTACGACACGTAGCTGGGACTTCCTCGGGCTCACTTACAGCAATCCTCCTTCTCAGCTCCTCCACAAGGCCCGGCTAGGCGACGGTGTAATCATCGGACTCGTCGACTCAGGTAGACCCATTTGATACGCAGTAACTAGCTCTCGTTTGGCTCGGGATTTATCAATGATCTTCATACTCAGTATTTTTTTGGTGAGTAAACCATATTTACTGTCGGTGTGCAGGAATATGGCCGGAATCCAAAAGCTTCGACGACAGCGGCTACGGCCCAGTTCCGGCACGGTGGAAAGGGACGTGCCAGACGGGGGACACCTTCCATTGCAATCGGAAGATCATCGGTGCGAGATGGTACACAGCTGGTGTTGATGAGGTCCATTTGAAAGGGGAGTACCTCTCTCCGCGCGACCTGAACGGCCACGGTACCCACGTAGCATCGACGGCGGCTGGATCGTACGTGCTGAATGTGAGCGTAGGTGGGCTGGCTGCAGGGTGGGCGAGAGGCGGGGCCCCACGAGCTAGGCTGGCCGTATACAAAATTTCTTGGGGGCAGGAAGGAACGGGGTCTACCGCATCGGTGCTGGCAGCCATTGACGATGCCATACATGACGGCGTAGACGTTCTCTCCTTATCCTTGACAAGCGAAGAAGACTCGTGGGGCTCCCTGCAGGCTATGCTTAAGGGAATCACCGTGGTGTACGCAGCCGGAAACGATGGTCCGTTTCCTCAGACTGTGGCGAACACTTCCCCATGGGTTATAACCGTGGCAGCCAGCACTATAGATCGGTCTTTTCCGACGGTCATCACCCTCGGAGACAATGTCACTCTTGTGGTCAGTAGCATTGCCTTGACGCTTCCATAACTTCAACGCTTCCTCTCTAGTCGATAGTAGTCCCTTTCCAGCCTTCCTTTAAGCTAACAAAGAAAGCTATATTTCTTCCAGGGTCAGACTATATACCATGGGAGTGCGGATTTAAGTGGCGTGTTTGTGGACATCATATATGGTTATAGGTCACAACCTCCTACCCTTGCACATCTTACTTAAATTTCATATAGTTTAACATTATATGCACATCGTTTCCTTAGTTTCGCCAAACTTCGCCTTCCTGATGCAGTTGTGACGAAGAAACACAGAAGGCCACCCAGTTTACAGGAAAAGTCGTCCTCTGCAACCCGGGACCTACAGCAACAATAAATAGGATCGCGCTTGCGGCACAGAACGTTGTGAAAGCTAGAGGTCTAGGTCTAATAGTCCCACAGTATAGCACTAACTTCCTTCCTCAATCCGACGATTTTCCGTGCATCATCGTGGATTGGATCGTTTTTCAGCAAATACTCGGATACATTCATTCGTCCAGGTAACCACGTTCCTGAAACTTCATAACTCTCTCTCTATCTCTGTGCCTCACGGCTCGCCGCTGGGATGTGGTGCTCCATTCACAGGGATTCTCCCAAGCTAAAGCTGGCTCCCACACGAACTGTAGAAGGCAGGGGGATCTTGGCACCCAGAGTAGCAGCCTTCTCGTCCAGAGGACCCAACCAAGTCTTCCCTGGCATCCTCAAGGTGCGTCTGCAGTAAACAAAAGACTAGGTTCTGCGAGATTTGAATTACCCCAGACAAAGGGGGGGATCTGCATCGGCATTCTTTTTTTAGTGTAGTTGCATCAAGTTTTCCCGCGTAAGGTTCTGTTACTTGTTCTTTGTCTGAAATATTTCACACCGATGCAGCCGGACATCACAGCACCGGGAGTCAGCATCCTAGCCGCTGCGGGGGATTCGTACGGTTTCAAGGATGGAACATCTATGGCAGCTCCACACGTATCAGGAATCGTTGCACTCCTCAAATCCTTGCACCCTACTTGGTCCCCCGCCGCAATAAAATCGGCCATTCTGACAACCGGTATGTTCTCTAAATTCCCAATAACTGGGCGTCGTTCCGTTCTCAACATTAATCTGTTTCTCTTCACAGCTTCGGTCGTCGACAAAGATGGTGTGCCGATAGTGGCGGAGGGCACCCCCCGCAAGCTCGCCGACCCTTTTGACTATGGCAGCGGCCACGTCAATCCAGATAAGGCAGCTGATCCGGGGCTTATATACGATATCAATCCGAAAGATTTCGACAAGTTCAAGTGCCCTTTCGGTCCTTTCATGGCTTGTGAGGCTCAGATTCCCGTCTACCACTTGAATCTGCCTTCTATCTCTATCCCTAATCTCAAAACCAAGGTGACAGTCTCAAGAACCGTCACCAATGTGGGCTCGGTCGACAGCAATTACATCGCCGTCGTCGAACCCCCCCCAGGGGTCGAGATAGAAGTTCGACCATCAAAGCTCGTGTTTGATGAACGCACCAAGAGACAAATCTTCACTGTTACATTGACATCTGTCCGCAGGATTCAGGGAGTATACACCTTCGGGAGCTTGACTTGGAAAGATGTGACTCATACAGTCAGGATCCCTATTGCAGTCCGCACTGTGATCAATGATTTATATGCCGATGTTGCATAGCTCTTCGATTATACAGAATATATCTGTTGTAGACTTGTTTTAGAATGTATTGGTGTGTGTTAGGGAGTGTGACTAGTTTTAGGACTTGGCCTGATAACATAGTGGAAAGAAGAGAGCACGAGGATAGAAAACCACAAGAAATAAATGATATCGAGAAGGATAGATGTGCTGTAATAAGGAACCACGAATTTAATGCTGTATAAAAAGACAAACATTCCTCATAACCACTAAACAAGGAGAAAGAAAATATCTAATAAAATGAGTAACAAACTACTATTTTCAGACCCCAAGGAGAAAGGGTTTCCCATGCCCTTAATTTTTGTCTCTCACAATTTCTCTATCTCCTATCCCCCCCCCGGCCACCTTTTAATCTGTATTGCAAAATGGTTATAGACTGGTTTTGTGCCTGAAACTACTCCTAGACAAAGGTGACAAAAAGTGAGATGTGGTCCGGATGGACCTCTCCTGAAAGACAGGTTGACCAAGTCACCCGTATGAATCTCCACCCTGACTTGGTCAGCACAATCATCTTTAAATTTTCATACTAAAAACTTCATCATCTTCTCATAATAGCCCCATAAATAAAAGCTGCATACCTTCTTGAAACAGGAGGTTAATTTCAGGTGGTGTAAATTCTGATCCAGTTCAAACAATGTAGGAACATGTATGATGGAAAATGTTTTGTTAACATGTCTACAGAATTATCTTCAGTACCAATTTTTTACACACTAATTTCTCTATTGAAAATTATATCATGGACTAAATAATACATGTTATTAAGATGGTTTGTCCGTTCATGATATATCTGATCTTTGTGACATGTATTGATAGTACCCAGTAAGTACTTAAAAACTAACTTCACTATATATGTGCTCCACCCAAATTAACCATATAATGAGTAAAAACATTGGCTGCATGTGATATATCAAAATCCATTCAAATCATACTATATAAGAAATATAGATACTATAGTGATAAGAAATTTAAAAGCTTACAATGAGTAGTGAAATGGGTATTAACATGCTTGACATCCCACATGTCAAAATGCTTAATTTGCTTTCATCCTGATTTCTTCAAATCTCTATTTCAAAAACAATTTTAGCTGCTCCCAAATCATTCATCTCAAACTTACTGTTGGGCAAAGCTTTTTACCTATTAACCTTAGTTATATCTTTTGCTGCAGTTAACATGTCACTAACATAAAGTAACAAAATAAATGAAAGAACCATTTGAAAAATTTCTGACATAAACATAATCATCAAATTTACTCTGAAAGAATTTATATTATGTCATAATTACATTAAATCTCTTATACTATTGTCGAAGGTAGTTTAAGGTCATATAAAGATTTCTTGAACAACAAAATATGATTCACTTTTCTTTCAATAAGAAAGCCTTTATATTGATGTATATAAATTTATTGTTGAAGATTACCATTTAAAAATGATCTTTTGACATCAATCTACTTTGACTCTAAATTAAATAATACAATTAAGGATAATGTCACATGTGTTGAACTGTATTTAAAAAATAAAAAGTATTATTGTAATCAATACCTTCCACCTAAATATGGCCCTTTGCAACTAACCATGCTTTATATCTAGCATCATTAGTATTTAGACTGCTCACTTTTTTATTGAAAAGCCATTTGCAGTCAATGATTTTCTATCCATTTGAGTCTTTCATCAACTCCCAAATCTGATTTTTCATGGAGAGATTAAATTTCTTTCTCTATAGCAATTAGCCACTTGTCCACATCCCTCATGAGGTATGACATTTGAAAATTTGAAAGGCTCATTAGAGTCTAAAATATCCTCAGCAATGGTCAATACTTAAACGACCATGTTGGCATAATCATACCTGAATAGTGGTCTAGTATCACTCCTTGATCAATCTAGAAATGAGAGTAATTTGTGGAGAACTCCCTATCATAGGTGTCCCAAGCACCATAATTTACTCTTATTGGGAATACATTTTGTGTGAGCCTAAAATTTCGAACTCCACCTATTTTGAAATATTATTATGAAAATCTGTATTTTTTGAAAGAAAAATCTCTTGTTTGAGATGTAAAATTGCAGATATAAAGGCTTGTGACATTTCAAATGTAACATTTCTCTCAATTAAAGGCTTATGAAACTTGACATCAACAAGCCATAATCTATATCCTTTGACTTCAAAGACATAATCAAAGAAAATACATTTCTTTGCTCTTAGATCTAATTTTTCATCAATCAATATGGACATAACCCAAGCAACTGAAGTTGTTAAATTTAAATAATCAAGGGGACTATCTTATTCGATTTCTTCAAGAGATTTGAAGTCGATGGTAGATGTTGAAGATTAATTCACAAGAAAACATGCTATGGACACTACTTCGATCCAAAAGTATTGGTCACCTAAATTAAAAAATATATAATGGGATCTTTCTAGTAGAATTCTTCTCATTTTTTTTACCACAACATTTTGTTGTGGACTATACTAAATTATCATGTGCTTGAAGATACCTTCAATTTTGTAGAAAGTATTAAATTAAGTGGAACAAAACTCAAAGTTGTTGTCAATCCTCAACCACTTTATAATACATCATTTTTATGCTTAAGCATGACTAGCTAAACTTTTTAAAAAAATTATCAATGAATGATAGAAAATAATAGACACCTTCTTTTGAAGGGACACAAAAAGGACCCCACAGATCTGGGTAAATATAATCAAGTGTACATTTAGTATTGTAAGTTATTATCTGGAACCTAACTTTCTTATGCTTTCTAAAGATGTAATGTTTAGAGAATTCAACTTTATCAATACTTCATTCACAAATTAAACCTTTCTTACTCAATAGATTCATTCATTTATTGCTCATATGTCCCAACCTCATATGACATGATTTAATGTGTTCTTCAATCATAAAGGTAGATGTTGTTGTAGCTGAATTAGAAATCATGGTCCCTAATAAGGTTTAAAGGATACCACATCTTTTTCCCTTCATCATAGTGAAATCTTTTTTGCTGATTTTCATAAATTCATCTTCATCTAAATATTTGCAGCCATTAACTTTAAGAGTATCCAAAGAAATAAGATTTTTTTATTAAGTTAGGTGACTTGACTTAAACATTGTATAATAAATCACGTAAAATTTAAATTTATAAAACTAGAAAATATTAATTTTCAGATATTTAGAAATATTTCAAAACAAATATATCAATTATAATTAAATAAAAGTTTTCAAAATAATAAGGAATTTTTCAAGTCAATCACAAGGATGTTATATAATATCGGGTAATATTTTTTAAAAAAATCACAAATAATATTATTTTTTTATGAATTTTAGACTAAGAAATAAAAATAAAATATATTTAAAAATTCATGAAAAAAAATAAGGGCGTGGACATCAAGATGACGTCAATGCCTGAAAAGAATACAATTTAAGTAGAAATTGAGTTCCACCTAGTGATTCTTACGTAAGTGATTACGAATAATTTAATAGGTCAAATTAAGATCTGTAAAAGCTAGAAAAATTATAATTGACTGAAAAAGGTTTTTAAAATTCAAAGTCACACGAAAATATTATTAAATTAAGTAAAAATTAAGTTGAAAGTAAGAAAGGCAGAGTTTTGGCTTCATGATAGCAATCATTTGAATTTTGTGTTCATGAAGATCAACGAATGATGTCCACGGCTTCAAAAGCTCTTTGTGGACATGGACAACTTGAGCATTCAGTATATCTCTTTTTGAAGTTCAAAAAATAATGGTGGAAGTTAAAGTAGTTAAAAATAATAATAAAATAGAGTTCCAGTGTTACAATGCTGATGTGTTGATGATGCATCAAAATCTTAAGCATTCAAAAAAATTGTCGTATAATGTCTATAGCTTCAAAGGCTCTTCTTGGACAAAGATAATGTGGGTAATCTCTAGATCTTTTTGTAAAGTCTAGAAATTAATGAAGTGAGTTAAATAGTCTTCGACGACTATCACTTGGTGGAGTAGAAAAATAGTGACTTTGTAGCTCTCTAGTAGTTGTCACTCGATAGAAATGAGTTGGATGGAGGTGGGACATATCTTAAGGAGCTTCATCCTCAAGTCCACATAATAAGAGGAGACTTTTCATTGCATCTAGTATGCTCTTAAAAGGTGACAACTCATTTCTCGATAGATTGTCTTCTTACTAACGACGATTTATTCATTGATCAATTAGAGATGATTTATTAGATAAATTCACGATCTTTTTATTTAAAATCATTATGTAATTTTAATAACGATGTTCTATAAATCATGTTGATGAGATTTTTACAAATAATTGAGCCATTTAGTAGCTTAATTATTCACAAAAAATCTACAAGAAAATTATGATTTAATTAGATAAAAATATAAGTTTTGTTTATGGTAAGATTCAAACCCTCACTAGTTGTCCACCTACATCAAAGAGTGAAATAAGTATGCAAATACTCTTATAAAGTAATGTCATCAAGGTACCTCTTTTTGATAAACAAAGGATATTTGAATTATAAAAATTATTAAAATATTTCAAAGAAGTTGTGACCTTGGGTTTAGTCCCACACCGATTATGTGTCAAATTTTCAGATGAATATATAGTAATATGAGATGTGATAAGTAATGAGTCCCTTTCTCGAGTGTGTACAATTACTCTTTTCCCCATGTCCAATTGGCCACCAATGATGTGGAAGGGGAGTGACACACATGTCCCTTATTGGTATGTCCTTAGCCACTCGAGCCTTTGCTTGCGGCTTTACTTGACTATGCTTCTAACCTACTTATGGGCTCAATTGAATGGCGAGTTCCCTCTTTTTTTTATATTTTTATTTTATTTTAGTTTATTTTATTTATCTTAAAAATAGGATTATAAAAATTATAGAAATTTATATAAAATTATATAACTAGCCAAAAAATACAAACTAATTAAAAATTATTTTTTTATATAATTTAACACAAATATACGTCTATTTATCATGAGTTAAGGTTAAAATTATATTATTAATTAATTAACTCATGATAATGAAGACATCATTAAAAATATCCCAAACATCAAATAATGTTCTCATAATACTACTAAATATTTTGATGTGAACTAAACCAATATGAATTAGTCTTACATGAGACTCATTCTGTATTGAGAAATCTCCACTATTGATTTGTTCATATGTAGATAAGTACTTTCTATTTGTGGTCGTATGATGTAAACAACTCATATTTAAGGTTCAATCATCTTTAAATCTAAGAACATGAGAAAAAAAATTCATGATTCTCATCTTTAATAACACTAACTTATGTTGAACTTTCAACATGTGTGAAC